AAATACTGGGCAGCAGGACTGTCTGTCATTGCCCCATCTGATAGAAGACATGCGGATAAGAAATGGCTCCCGCTTCTCTTCTCACTGCTCTTTAAGAGAGGACAATGCAAGCCATCATGGTGACTGGCAACTGGCCTTCAGTCTCTGCAGGCGAGGCACTAGAGAGTGGTGGAGACTGCAGAAAGGCGACTATCAGACCTTTCCAAAGGGAAGTCACCCCTCGGCTCTAACCAACAGCTGCCTGTGGGCAGGCAATATTGCTGGGTTCCCTTTTTATTAAGAAAAGTCAGAAGTGTAGATTTTGGGGGATGATATTTTCTCATATGAATTGGATATTAACTTTGAAAAAGACCCTTTAAATACTATAAGAGGCTCTGTTTCTGGAAACGTAGTGAGCTAGGATGTTTGGATCCACTCATCCCACTGAAACAAGTTAGAAAGCTGGTGAAAGGACAAAAACTGAGAGAACCAACGTAACGCCCCCAAACAAAACCCATTTGTGGGACAGAGTCAGCCCTGGCCAGTTTTGAGATGCGGTCCGTGAAGACCACCTGGAAGGCCTTGCCAAAAAAACAGATTCCCAGCCTCGCCCGTGGAGATCTGGAGTCAGTAGGTCCTGGGGTGGAGCCCGTGAACTTCTGTTTTCAGTGATCTCTGTAGCTGACTCTGCTGCCCACGGTGCGTAAATGATCCTCTGGGACACACTGCAGTAAGTCACTGTGTATCTCTAGACATGTCTTGCTCTCCTCTGGGCCTCAGTTTCCCCATCTGTAAAATGAGTGTGCTGAATGAATACTTCTCTGAGGCCATCTGCTCCACCATGCTTTCCAATGTCCCCGTAACCCCAGATCGGAAGAACACAGCAGCTGGATCCATGCCCAGCCTGTATCTGCCAGACCCCTCTGGAAATTTCTATCCTGAAACTCAATCCTGCAAATATGTTAGCATTTTGTTGACAGCTTTTTGAATTTAGTAACCTAATGTAAAGGGTAAAAAAGTCGTATCAAAGCTGAGAGGAAGAGAACGTGAACAGTGAGATTTTCCAGCTGCTGTTGCAGAGCCTTCTCGGAGTCTATAGGCAGTGGAAGTTCCAACGCACGAGAGGAACAACGAAGCGCATTTACCGAGGGAGGAAAGGTAAAGGCGGGAGTGACACAGGAAGCCTATCTTCCCAAGACGAGCCGAAGCAGAATGAGAAGTAATGGGTGGGAGTTACTCACAATAGAATTTAGTCCAATATCAGAAATAACTTTCTAAACGTCAAAGGAGTGCAAAAATGGAATGGGCCCCTTTAGCAATGGTGAGTGCCTCATCAAACTCTTGATGGAGAAGAAGTCAAAGGGATTTAAGCTTCAGAAAGATAGTTTGATAGACGGATCGGTTCAATAGATACGTATTGAGCATCTATAGTGCTGATTTTCATCCCAGAAACGACAGCAATGACCAGGACAGACGTGGTCCCTGTCCTCGCGAAGCTACAGGCTGAGTAAGGAAGACGGGCAATGCCCGCAGGCCTTTCACTGATGCTGCCGGTGCAGAGAGGAGTGAGCAGGGAGCTTCGAGAGCAGACAGAGGAACTCCCCTGGTCTGCAGCTCGTCCTTGCAAACGTAACACTGGAGCTGAGCCCTCACGGTCTACAAGGTGAGTGAAGAAGGTGCTAGAACTTTCCAGGGAGGGGTCCTTCCTACTTTGAGTTTCCCCGCTTTGTGCTCACTGGTCATGGGAGCTGAGGGACAGACATCTTGGTATTTAAGGCACACTGATTGTGTTAATGTTCAAGAATGGCCAGACATCCAAACAGCCTTTTTCGCTCAAAAGCTTCCTGCATTTGCACCCAGTGTGCATGAGAACGCTTCCCCAGAAGGAACCATTTGCCAAAAGGCAAGAACCACAGTCAGCTCACGGAAATGAAGGAAGGTGCAAAAGCAGGTGGAGAAAAGCTCTGGGCAAGGAAAGACGGCAGCGGAAGAGCTGGGAGTGGGTGGTCTGGCAGAGAAAGAAGATTCCATTTTCTATCTGAGAACTGAGAGGGAGACAGCTATTGCTCAGATGTTTTATTCCTTTTTGAAAAGCTCAAAGTCCAACTTTGTCTCCTAAAACATTTCTTTCTTTAAAAAATCAGCTGAGGGGCCGGTCCCGTGGCCGAGTGGTTAAGTTCACACGCTCCACCTTCAGCGGCCCAGGGTTTCACTGGTTTGGATCCTGGGCGTGGACACGGCACCGCTCATCAGACCACGCTGAGGCAGCGTCCCACATGCCACAACTAGGAAGACCCACAACTAAAATATACCACTATGTGCTGAGGGGATTGGGGGAGAAAAAGCAGGGGGGAAAAAAATAAGATTGGCAACAGTTAGCTCAGGTGCCAATCTTTAAAAAAAAAATCAGCTGAAAATATGAACAGAGACCACAAGAGAATTTGGAGCTAAGAAATACGAAAACAGTTGATCTTTTGGACTGGGGGTGGGGAGCATCTCTCTCTTTATTCAAATGTTGGTTTTATTTTTTTAATAATGGGTTATAAGTTTGTGTCCACCATCACCACTAAAAAAAAAAATGTAGAGGAGATCAATGTGTCTAAGAAGGATAATTCAACGTTTCCTGCATTTTAATGCCTCACAATTTTCATCATATATAAATACCACCTATATTATTATTACGAAACACTGTCTTTAAGTCAACCCATTTTTAAAGCTTACCACTTACTGAAGTCCTGTCCTAAATAATATCTATGAAAACACATTTGTGATGAGCTATTTGTGTTAAAATAAAAACAGAACCATTAATTTTTTAATTGTTCCACATGCCCCTGAAATCATCTCGCACCCTTCCTGTGTGACATGGATGTTAATTTGGAAAATGCTGGACAGACCTTCCCATGAAGCCAAAGTTCACAGCTCTTTCCACCGCCCTAAGCTGCTGTCGGTCTTGTTTTTTCTGAGAACGATGTGAGTTAATCCACGTAATGGGATTAGATAGCAACTGTCATCTAGTAAGCCCTTAACAATCGAGGGTCATTATCACGATTAGTCCAACCAGGTCAGCCCCGGTCAGAGGGTCAGTCTCAAAGCGGGCAAACTGGTATTCTCCTTAGGACAATATCCCAGTGAGAGAAGAGAAGTGTGGAGACACACACAGGGGTTATCAACCCACGTGGCCTCTCAATAGCTGGGCCAACCCGTGCCAGGAATACATTAGTTCTTTTAGTCTTCACAACAACTGCACGAGGAAGGCACTTTTATTGACCCATGTTACAGATAAGGAACGTGGACTCAGAGCTTAAGCGGTGGCCAAGGTCACCATAGAAAGGACTGGAATGCTGGCCGTCTGACCCGGGATCCCAAGCTGTTAAAGTGCCTTGTGTCCCACTGGCTCTAGATTGAAAGGGTGGAGAAGGCCATGCTGACCCAAAGGGTCAATGTCCATTATGATGGGGTCACCACTGTTGTTCCGCCCAATGTGGGGGGCGGATTTCTTGAGAGAATCCAGAAATCCTTACTTATATGGGAAACGTTTCTATTTTTCTATGTTGGTAGCTAATTGAAAATTTTTAACTCGATGCCTGCCAAACCAAGCACAGCAGCAGGCCCAGGCAGCACAGAGGCTCCAGGCTGTGATCTCTGAGTTCAGGCAGAACTTTCTGATAGCTCTGATTTCCAATAGCCATGCTTCCCCACTGGGCTCATCACTGTCACCCCCAAAGGCTGGTGATCCGGGACAGTCCCCAATCCTCGGCATCTCTGAGACCTTCGCCATTCGTATCCCACATGAAATATACTCCAGTCCGTAGCCGAACTGTGGAGACACCTTTCCTCGGAAGAGAAGCAATCCCCGGAGTCTCAAGCGAAACTCACACTGAGACTCCCGTGCCTCCCCGAGCCGAGGCGGGAAGGGCGAGGCCCGGGCCCCACTGCCCCCGGGTTCCCTCGGTCCCTGCCGCTGAGGCGGGCTTGTTTTTAATTTAGAGGAGTAAACAAGTCTGGTGTGTTTACAGGACTGCTTGAACTCGGGAACAGCTCAAACGACGGATTTATAAACCTGGCCGTGGTTTTGGACCTCAAAACCATTTCTTAAAATTCTGGGTTCCGCAAAGTCCAAAACGTACCCTCCCACATGTTTTCGGCTTGCAAAACTTTTGTTTATTTTTTTGGGATTTAGTCCCTGAGTCCCAGAGTCGTGTACAATGAATTCATCACCATGATGTTTTCAAGGATGTCCAAAACCCCTTTGAGCTTTCAGAAAGGCTTACATTAAACTTCTTTATTTTTCCTAGAAATAAAATTTTTAATTTTGCTTACAATAATGGAACTGGAAGGCTTGAGGCCGATTTGGACAGCAGAGTACAATTTCCCAGAAAGTTTTGAAATGTGGCTCAGATGTCCACGGTTTGAAGTTCAGATACTAGAGCGCAAGTTACTTTCCACAGCAAAAAAAAAAAAAAGGAATAGATTCCTAACTCGTCTCTTGCATGTATTTGTTGCATCCATGGTTTTATTCCAAGCACAGGAGGAAAGCACTTGCCAGTGCAGCTCTCTCCACCGACCCCCAGGCTCAAGGGCCGCGAAGGAAGCAAAGCCGTGGCGCCAGCCTTAAAAGGCCTGCCCTGCCCAGACCCGTCGTCCACACCCCGCGGCCAGAAATAACAGCGCAGGAGCCACACCATCAATTCACTTCCCACACACGCCACAGCCCCGGCCACGTCCCATGTGACAGCGCTGTGTCTGTTTTTTAGGGAGGTTTTTTTTTTTACTTTGCTTTACGAGATTAAATATTTTGATCTCAAAGACAGTGTTTTAATTCTTAGTCTCCAGAGCAAGTCTCCTGTTAGGGTGCTGGGTGCCTGCATCCCATCTCTTGCCTGCCCTCAGACCCATGGGTGGCATTTACAAGCATTCTGCACCTGAGCAGAACTTCACATTCACGTCCGCCAGGGCCGGAGGAGCAGGTGCCAGCCAACAACGAAACGCATTGGAAAGAACCCCAGCGGGCGCGCACTCACCCTCAGGGCCGCACTGGGCGGGGTTGCTGAGGCAGGAGGCGTTGTACCGGCTGTAATACAGCAGTGTGACTCCTTTCTCTTCTTTGAAGTAAATGCCCTTGTTGACCTTTCCTTCTACGATATCTGAGGACGAAGAATGACAGCATCGTGTGTTAATAATCTTATGAGATTAAAAGTCTAAAGACATGCCAGACTTACAAACAACTTATATATAAATACACTGTATTATTGATATTTACAATACATTTATATTTGATATTTAATTATTAACTAAATTATAAGCAATGTATAAGTTGTGAATGTTAAATATTAAATTAATATTTTATCATATTAATATTTTATCATTAATTAGTATTATATTACTGTATAATATGAAGAATACTATAATGATAACATAATTATTATATTTACCAACAGTTGAGTTACCAGCAGCAATGTGATTATAATCCCTTACTGTCCTAAGCTTTAATTCCGTCTCCGTGCTCCATGAGGCCTCCCCACTGCCATCTTCACACTGAACTTTCCAGCAAAACAGCTGGATACAAGTTTGAATGTAAACTACAGCTGAACTCCCTCTCCTTTTGAGTCTTAATTGAAAGCCCCGAATCCTAGACATGGGGACCCATGAATTTTTTTTTTTTTTTTTTGAGGAAGATTAGCCCTGAGCTGACTATTGCCAATCCTCCTCTTTTTTGCTGAGGAAGCCTGGCCCTGAGCTAACATTCGTGCCCATCTTCCTCTACTTTATATGTGGGATGCCTACCACAGCATGGCATGCCAAGCGGTGCCATGTCCGCACCCAGGATCCCAACTGGCAAACCCCGGGCCGCTGAGAAGCGGAACATGCGAAATTAACCGCTGTGCCACCGGGCCGGCCCCTCACGATTTTAAAAGAATCTATTTTCAGACTCTAGGAGGAAAATGCAGAGTTACGTTTCAGATCGTCCCAGAGGAGCCTGCCAGCGATAAGACTGAGGGCGGCAAGTCCTGGCTGGGACACACTCTGTCATCATTTTGTTTTGTTCTATTCCTATAGCAGATGTACCTGATGGTGTGAGTGTGAGGTAAATGGTTTACAGAATTGATAAGTGGAGACTATAAAAACCAAAAGTGATTAGGAATTTATTGTTAACTGGGGTCAAAGTCGCCTAGATACCTTCTCTGCCGTGTGGGCACGTGCCTGGGGCTTCCACCAGCTGAAGGTGTGCAGAAGAGCTGATGGGGTCCTCCGACCTGACCACTACGCCAGCTCGGGTTGTCCAGCAACCACAGCCATGTGGAGAACCGGCTCGAAGGTTCCAGTGTGCCTCCTCACTGTTTGCAAACTCCATACTTTTTTTCTATCTCATTTATTGCTGGGGGAATCCATATATTACAAAATTAAATGGACAACTAGCAGTTGCATAATTGAGTTAGGCTGTATAAACCCCTAAACCAGATTGCTTGATTGGAAAAATTAATTTTGGAAGCCAAACATTTCACAGTTGAAGCAATCAGGTTCTGTGTTGAAAGAATATCAAGGAATGTCACCTAAGTGATCTGAAATGACTCTCTATGCTGCTCTGATAGCAGCCACAATCGCTACCGTCCCTTTTGCTTTGAGCCACGTAGGGAAAACAGGAACCATATGGGCTCTGGGGGTTATTAAATAAGATAATAATTTAACCATGACTCTTGAGAGTGTGTGTTTTATAAAACAGCTTCTAATGATTACCAAAAAATTCCAGCTACAGAAGAAACGCTGATTTTAATATTTGTAAGAGATCAAATTTTTGATGAGGTATTTTTAAATCAACTTTAACTTTCCATTCAAAGGGCATGCTTTTCCTCTCCTGAAGAATATAATCCATTTAAAAATCCAAACAATTTCTATTTTTAGAAAGTGTCTCATCTTCTGTGTGTTTTGTTCTGGAAAGAAGCAGCTGGTTTGGAAGATCCTGGTGGCGTGAAAGCTCATTTGCACCCCCTAACATACTGGCCTCAGTGACACTTCCTCAGACCTAACTCGAAGTAGTTATTTCAATACCCTGGATCTTCGCGGTTTTCTTGCACATCTGCTCATTTTCTAGCCAAGATGAGTGAATTTATGGAGGAACAAAGTGAACTGGCCTTTAAATTCATTGTAGATCCCAACTCGACAGAACACAGAACAGAAACACACAAGTGCTCACCTACAGTCGCAGAGAAATTTGAGTAGGCAGAGTCATTGGTATATACAAAGGTAGAATTATGGGAAGGAAGCACAGTGAGGTTGTGGGTTCGCAACGCTGGGTGGAACGACAAAAGAAAAAGCACAACAAATGAGTGACACAAAACAAATGGAACCAACATATCTCTCAACTCAACATGCAGCAAGAAGCGTTCCTCTCATCCAATAAGCATCTCGGATTTTCTCTTCTGACCTCACCTCCCTCCGACCTCCACCCCCTCAGTCAACCTCATGGTCAACTCCAGTGGCCCCGTTCAGTCTCCAAGCTAGGGCGTGATTTGAATTCGGCCACACACGTCAGTTCCAATTTGCTGGCTCCAGCTCCCCTCCAGATACTTAGTTGAGAGATATGAAATTGAACTTGGCCATAAAATAGCCTTAACAAAAGGATTAATGGTTGTGATGTCACGAGAACTGATGACACAGAAACACAGCGTGAAAACAACTCCATGATATGATAACAAATGGACGAAACAACAGAGAATTCAGCAACAAATAACACAGCTGCACATCCACAAAACAACTCCCAGAGCTGCTCCACTGTCTCCAGCAGCAGCATGTGCTCATGGAGTCGATCCTCTTTTTTTTCTTAAGAAGCCTGTAATCGAATTGAAATAGACCAGCATAGCATTATACCATAAAGAGTGGATCCAACAGAAAAGAGCAGTGAAGCCTCTACTGTTCGGGTGTTTGGGACAAAAGTTAATATAGTTAGAGTTTTCTGGGAAATGAGTACATTGGGAGAACAAAATTCGACCACAATGTAATTGTATCTGAGGAATTATATCATCTTATAAGAAGAATTTTTCATCAGTAAAGATCCTCAACCAGCATGTCACTGGTTTAATCACAACCATGAGTTGAGTTGAGGGCGTGAGGAGAGAAATCCAGTGATGGTTATTCATCCTCTCGTTTAAAAGAACTCCTAAAATGCTAGTGTCTGCGCCCTAGACAACGAACTATTTTGAAATGTATTTCCACTTGGTGGAATGATCCCCTTTCCAAGGCTTTAAAATAAAGGCCCTGAGAAAAGAAAGCTAGATTATAACCAGGAGAGGCAGTGCACTGTAACCCGAGCTGGGCCTATAATCAGCTTCCACAGGGATGTTGTTCCTCCCTGCAGGGCTGACTGTTTGGAGAAAATGTGGAGCTTTAAGACGGTTTTCAATTGTGGTCACCGTCACCACCAGCTATGCAGGCGAGCAGGAGGTGACGCTGACAGAGGGAGAACGGCATTGCACACCAGACAGCACCCCCGGGGAAGCCCCTCTAAGGCCCCCAGCAGCACAGACCAGCTGTAATGCTTCTCATTTTGCAGATTTTAAGGGAAACGTTCTAGAATCTGAAGTGGCAATTTACGGCCGCACATGAAGTCACAAGAATAAGGAAAATGCCAGGGTGCTGGTGTGGGAAGCAGAGTGATCAGCAACATGCAGGGTTTCTAAAGGACTTCGTCCCACAGAACCGCTACAGACACGGTTTGAGCGTGTGCTGGGACGGCTGTGCGGGAAACCCCTCACTGTATACATCAGCCGCTTGACATAACTCAGAGCAAAAAGGAAATAAAATGTTAAAGCATCGCCATCACTCAAAATTAATACTTTTAAGAAGGTTCTTATTAGAATGGAAAAGAAGTGTTCGGGGAAAGCTGAGGGTTAAACTCCTTCTGGCAAATGTCAGAACTGAGTCAGTTAGGGACTCTAGTTTCATGGAATTGGGGACCATGGGAAGCATCTGAGGTGATGTTTGGTCTTTTCAAAGGGGCGCTGCCGTGATGAGCAGGGAAGCTGACTGGCAGCTGGGGTACCATTCCTGAGTGACGTGCGACCCCTGAACATGTGGGTTAGTCTCAGTTGCCACAACCTTTGGCACTGGCTTCAAAAGGGCCCTGTTTGGACAGGCATGTAGATTATGTCAGTTTTGCCTAATTAGAAAACATACATCTGGACTCGTACGCAGATAGATCCATCACCTACAGTTTAAGCTTAAAACAGCTGCTTCGGTTTTAAGGTTGCTGGGCAAAATGTGCATTTTAATAATATTTTGAATTCTAAATTCTGTCCTTCAATCATAGAAATATATAAAAGTTCTTGTAAAATACTTCACAACAACAATGACTGGGGGGCAGCTACACAAATGTTTGTTAGTCCCCATCGTCCTGGCTTCAGAGCAGATGCTGTTCACATCTGTCTCTCCTGGTGGCCCCTGATGCCCCAGAGCCACCCACTCCTCTGCCTCAGTCATCGTCACCACACATGTCTACCTCCAGTTGTATCCTGAAGCTCATGGATCCCCTCCACATTTTCCAACGGCCAGTAATGGGAAGCAGAAGCCAAGACCTCAAACCCTTGGGGGGAAAAAAGAATAAAAATGTTAAATCAGCCTCAGGAAGGAAAGAGGTAAAGACAAAGAACTACTTACCATCTACATTGTGATCTGGGGGAGAGTGAAGATCACAGCGACCACAGAGGGTATTAAAAGGCATATGAATAAATTCAATCCCCACTCCTGGTTAAGAAAAAACTCTTAACAAACTAAAAATTTAGAAATATTGCCTTAACAGGATAAAATATGATAAATAGGACTCGAGAGATACTTTTTAACCAAGGAAAACAAAAGCCACCCTGCCTTGTGGTGCCCCACTAGAAGCAGGCCCATTATTGTCAGGAAAAGACAAGCACCCCCATTATCCACCATTACTGAATATTGTGCTAGAAGAGATACCAATGCAATCAGACAAGAGAAAGAAATCAGGTAGGAACAACTTTTTTTTTTTTTGAGGAAGATTAGCACTGAGCTAACTACTGCCAATCCTCCTTTTCTGTTGAGGAAGCCTGGCCCTGAGCTAACATCCGTGCCCATCTTCCTCTAGTTTATGCATGGGATGCCTACCACAGCATGGCTTGCCAAGTGGTGCCATGTCCACACCCGGGATCTGAACCCGAGAACCCTGGGCCACTGAGAAGTGGAAGGTGCGAACTTAACCACTGCGCCCCTGGGCAGGCCCCTAGGTAGAAACAACTTAAAAAGAGGAGGAAACCAATCCCAATATTGTGCCAGACACTGTGTGAGTGCCTTTACCAACCCTTCCTCATTTCATTCTAACGATAATCTACAAGACAACTGTGGCCTATTTGTAAAGACAAGGACTAAGATGCTTCCTCGGAAACCACCCAGCCGGCCGGTTTCAGACGCGATGCTCATATATAAGAATTTCTAGGTTTGGTCCCGATCTTTCCATTGTCTCTGCTGCCTCCATACTAAAAATTAATCTTTTCAGAACTTCCTTTCTGATCCTTGTTCTTTGAGCAGACATAATTTTGTGCAGATATATTATTTTCTATTCTGCTCTTCCCACTTCAGGCCATATGAATTGCTTCATTTATTTACTGCCCTCTCGCCTTCCTAATGGAGCTTGGGGAGCAGGCCCTGGAGGGGCTGCCCCACCACAGACTCAGCCGTTCTCCTAACGAAGCTTCCCTGGGCTTCGTTCTCCACCATTAGTTCCCAGAAGTGGAAATAACAGTCCAGATGACTCAATAATCATCAACGGCCCCAGATGTCTGCCAGATCACAGAAAAGTCAAACTTAATAAAGTAATCTTTGTGTTATTCATAGTAACAAAAATTTTTAAAGAGGAGATAATGTGATCATTATTTTCAAATGATGTATGCCTGATAATCAAAATGAACAACTATTACCAACAAGAAAAGAATTTGCTAAACGAAAAACTGTGACAAACAACGAAAGAATCTAGTAAAGAGGCTGACACAGATTTAACATGCAAATGTCAGTCGCTTCCCTGTATTTAAACCGCAATGCTAAAAAGTAACAGGAGAAAAGTTCTCATTTATAAATGTGGCCAAGATAGAGAAGACATTAAAGAAGAAAAGAGTAAGAACTGTACCCAATTCTCAACAAGAAAACAATGAAATAATACTGAGGCATGGAATAGGATCCTTGAATAAATGAAGGGCTTAACCTATTCCTGGAAAAGAAAATGCAAAATCATAAAAATATCAACTATCTTTTAGGTAATATACAACTATCGGGAAATTTGTCATAAGAATGCTGAGAGTTTTATGTGTGAGAGAAAGCTGATTATGGAGCTTGCATAGAAAAATAAATAATCAAGAATAACCAACAAAATCTGGGGAGGAAACAGCAAGGACAGTGAGGGGAGTAGCAAGAGCAGCTATTAGGATGCGTCTCAGAGCCGGGAACAGAGACAACCTGGTCCCACATGTGAACAGACAGGTCAGCGGGCAAAACCCATGAACCTTCCCAAGCACAAGGGAAATCTGAGTTTCTGATCAAGGTGGTATTTTAAATTAGAGGAGAAACGGTGTTCAACAGAAGGTATTAGAGCCCATTAACCGTCTACGAAGAATCAAGCTCCCCATCTCACTCTTTATACCACAGCAATTTCCAGATGGATCAAAGTTTACACGTAACAAAATAAAATATAAAAACTTCTGAGGAAATCAGGTTATAAATTTGACTATATAAGTTTCTTAAATTTCTGTACAGAAAAATAAATCAAGCTAAATCAAACCAGGGAATGATATGTATAATGCATAGGGCAGAAATATGCTGATTTCTTTTTAAAGAAATGTAACAAATTTATGATATTAATAAAACTCCTATTATTAAGAAAATTTAAACCAACAGAGTACTGGGGCAAAGGACATAAAAAGAGAGTTCAAAGAAAAATAAATGCAAATTATTTTTAAATATATGCAAAGACGTACAACCTTGCTCATAATTTTTAAAAGCCTGTTAAAACTACAATGAGCTAGCCTATCACAGCTCACAGCTCAGACTGGCAAGTAAAAGTAGACACACTAAGTCGGCAAGCTCTACCCTTTTTCGGTGGGATTCAGATCAGCATAGCCTTTCTGGAGGGCGATGTGGCAGGACCCACCCAAATTTTAGGTGCACTTTCCCTTAGATCTCATGATTCCACTCGGAGGAATTTATTCCAGGATACACTCGCATGTGTGATCAAAGACCTGTGCACACAGTATTTCTTGCTGATTTTTTTAATAGTATGAAAAGCCTGCAAACCACCTAAACCCTCACCCACAGAGGGTTGGCTAAACCAATACAGAACAGCTATGTGCGGGACTGGCCTGGACCGGGGCAAATGGTGAGGCTACAATATAGGATGTTCTCTAAGTTATGCTGTTAAGTTAAAAAAACCAAGGTGAGAAAAAAAGGTGTGTACTATGAACTATTTGTGTAAAATACAGTTGTTCAGCGGGCAGGGAGGGAGAGAAGCAGAGAAATGGAGAGGGAGAGGTGTTTGCACGGATACCCTGGAAACTGATAATGGTATTTTTGGGGTGAGGAAATTGAGGAACTCGGTATGAGGAGGAAGAAGAAGATTATCGTTTCATTATCTTTCTGTTCTATTTGAATGTTTGGACCAGTAATCCTTTAAAAAGCATGTTAGGACTTTTCTTTCACAATTGAAATGACCATAGGTGATGTCCATACTAAACTTTCAGATGAAAATGGAAGCATTCCATCTCATATCTGAACTTCCGTCTACAGGGTGCAAACATCTAGACATGTCCAGATCACTGGCTCCATTCTTCAGTTTGCAGCTGTGGGGCCATCTTTTCAAAAGTGTTAAGTACATGAGTCCACATGTAAGCCCAGTACAATGCTGTTCTCTAACCTGGCCTAAGGACAGGTAGGGCTCCAGCCACCTGACCGTGCACAGCGCAGAGACACGACTCCCGCGCATGCCCCGTGGGAATGGTCCACTCTAGTAATACAACACTGAGAATCTGAAAGGTAAACATCCAAAATACTCGTTTTCATTTCCACCATGCTTTTTTTCCCTAAAATCTAGGATATTCATTTTGAAGAGGGGAAAATACCATTGACTTATTCAATTCATCTGAGGAAAAAAATTGGAAGAGGAAATAACATCTGTTGTACAAAGAACAGATGTTGTATCTTCAGAATCCTCATCTTCATAAAATAAGCCCTGTGGATAATAAATCCTTTCTTATCCTCTCCATTTACAAATGGCTACAGTTCATCTTGGGCAGAAACGCTCAAGATGAGTAAAGAGATGCCGTCTCGTTCACATGGAAAGATGCACCCCGCAAGCTAGCCAGAGTCCGCAGCGTCAGTGATGAGAAGAGCAGCTTGGGATCCGAGGGGAGCCTGCTAGTCCATGTCACTCACTGCAGACACAGTAAAACACCCACTCAGTTGCCCCAGATGGCTGGTAACTAGCAACACTGAGTTAATCCTACAGACTGGAAATAAGGAATGAGGGGTTGCAAACTGAAATATCCACAGGGGCCAGAGGCCATGAGGAGTTCTCTGGATAGAGCTCCGGATGATGTTCATGATGGTTACCAGCCTGGAAGGCAGAGGCTAAGCAAAACAGATGCTGGAAACAAACAACTCGTGTCACCCCAAGTTGTACTCTGCGGAGCGGAGCTGTGGCCAGTTGGAAAGTGTGTGTCCTGCCTAAAGAAAGAAGCTGCTCTCCAGGGCAAATCGCTGTGGCTCTGTAGGAAGATCCACCCAGTGCTGTCAGGGCCGCCATTTTTATAGCAAAGTCAGAAATCCAGATGTTTTAAATTTGAAATCTCCCCAAATTTTAATGTTAGCAATTAAGTTTCTTTAATTAAAACACTGTGATGCCAGCAAGACATGCCAAAGAACTAAAGTCAACACACAGATCCCCTTTTACAACCTAAGTAGTAAACAATCCGTAGCTCTATAATGTCAATGGAACAAGGAAATCTCCTTTGGGGAATAAGACGCTCTAGCTATTTCCCCAAAAATAAGGTGGCCTGCGATCTCCTAGTTATATGGTCATCCTGGTTTTCACCAGATAAACTCTCATAAGGACTAAACATCTGCTCAGACAAGACAGCAAGCCAAGCGATAACACGGCGCATTCCGGGACTTCAAAACATCTCCCAGCCGTAAAAAATAAAACAAGAGAGAGGGCGTTTTGCTACATCACCGCAATTATAAATCAGCTCTTCAGGAATAATTTCTCGTCCATATTTAATGTTTCATTGGCTCAGTTTGGTGAGAGAGAGGGAGGGAGACAGGAGGACCAGCACTCAAAAAGATAGTCAATAAAACCTTTCATGTCTCCTCTTCAGCTTTCCTGCCAGACTCCCCTCTGCTGCCCCTTCCCTATCCCTTATTCGTTGTGTCAGTAAAGGCAAACCCTTCTCCTCGAGCTTGTGTAGGAAAATACCTCCCCGGTGTCCCACTGACCGGACGTCGCACAGAGAGAGGTGGTCCCCTCCAGTCATCAAACTGGTCCATCTGTCTCTGTCTCTGACACCGAGCTTACTTCCGCTGCAGGTCTTGCCTGCGGTCCCCACTGCCAGAAATGCTCTCCTCGCCTGCTGCATAACCCACTCTGTCACTCCAGCCTCAGCCCAACGACAGCCCTCTCCTCCGAGAGGCCTTTCCTGATGGCCCCTGGTCACCACCACGCGCTCCTTCTCCCGACTGCTTTGATTGCTCACGGCACTCACTCTTAGTTGAACCTTCCTGCTGGTCAGTGTATTTGCTTGTCATCTGTCTCCGGATCTGACTCTTTGCGCCTGGAGTATAGAGACTTTGTCTGCTCTGTCTGCACCGTATTCCCGTGTCTAAAACAGGGCCTGGTGTGCGTGTGTGCCAGAGATCCAGATGTTTGCATTTGAACTCCCCCCAAAATTTTAATGTTAGCAATTAATTTTAAAAAACTATATAGGTGGAATGAATGATGAAATGCAAGAGTGAATAAATGAATGAATGAACTTAGAAAGACTATACATATATATATAATTCTGGTACCCCCACCCCCGAAAAAAAATCTCTATTTGCCAAATTTCCATTTGTTCAATAGGGTCTAAACATTATTTTTTAAAACTTCATCATGAGCACATTTTTCGCACTAGGAAGTTGAAGAATGAAGTTTCTGCCACGACCTAGTGGTTCTGACAGCTGTGTATAAACTAGGTAACACTATGTTGGTGACGGACGTTAACCAGACTGACAGTGGGGATCATTTCGCAATATATACAAACATCAAATCATTATGTTGTACACTTGAAAATAATATAATGTTGTACATCAATTATATCTCAATTAAAAAATAAAAATAAAGGGAACAAACTATTGATTTACACAGAAAAAACCACTATGTAAATATGGGGAACTATCATTACTCTAATCAGCTGCTGTGGCCTCCGGGACCCCTAACTAGGGTGGTGAGGAGAACTGCCTGATCTCCTGGAAATGGATTGCAACCAGCTGCTCCACGACCCTGGAACCTTCTGGAAACTTATGGAAAATGACATGTTTTTTTAAAGTCCCCTTTGCCTCATTACAAAAGTTATCTGTAAAGGGCACATTTTTAAAAATGACCTGCAATTTCTTGGCCAGTGCCATTTAGATTTATCAACCATTACAGCTTCCTCACATTGTCCTCAGGGAACAGGCAAGAAATGGGGCAGCCTGGAGCAGAGAAAAGGTGTCAGATGTGGAGTGAGGCTCCCACTCTCCCCTCTCCGGGCCTCACCGTCATCACCCATCGAATGGGGAGGTGGGCCAGCCAGCCTCTGCGGCTCCCTTGAACTACAGCGTGCTATGATGTCTGCAGATGACTATCCACAGCCACACGTAATGCAAAGGCTCAAAACGACTGGACACTGGTTTTCAATCATTTCTAATACCAAACACCTGGCAAGTACCTAGTTACCTGGGCTGGTGTAGACAGACTGACCAGATAACCAAGCCGGAACCTCTCCCTGGGAGCTGAAACGATGCAGACTGGCTATCACTACTGGTTCAGCTCCCCAGATGACCAGGAAATCTTGGACTGACGGCACAGAGTCCAGTCAACAGGTTCACTGAGCATCTACCAAGGGGAAGGCGCTGTGCCAGGCGTCACAGTGAGGAGACAGGAAAAGCTTACTAGTCCTATTAGAACCTGAGAAAGAAAGTTTGCTGTGGTCCTGGTGGCCAATAGGCTGGCCTTCAAAGACTGGGGTTCAGCCTATATTGGGGACCCCTGCTTTAGGTTCACCTAACATCCTGTCATACCTCCCTCACTGTACTGACCACTCTGACCACTCTGTGCTGTTTTCAGTAATCTCTTTATGTGTCTGTCTCCCCAGCTCCCTCCAAAGCGTGAGGTCCTTAGGTTACCACCGCGTCGCACAGGCACGGACTCTGGGCGATCGCTGACTCCCTCCGACAGACACGCTTCTGCTCTGCGGTGGGAGAGCCACTGCTGTTTGGAAGGGTTGTTGAGAGGATCACACAGAATCTACATAAAATGCCCGAGACGCTGCCGTGTCGGCACTCACAATTGCCGCTTAGTGCTCCTCGGGATAAAACGCTACAGTCTGTAAAGTTATTCCCACACCGATGGGTATTCAGGTTGTTTCCAAATTTCTCCCCATTAGGAACAGGCTCTCTGCATGGTCACTGTGCCCACGGGCGGACGCTCTTGAGAAGAAGTGCCGGGATCCAGGCTTTCTGCACGGGGGCCCCTCCTCGGACACTGCAGGCCTGATCGGCCAGAAGCCGAATGAGGGAGCCCTCCTAGGTGCTGATGCTACATGGACGACTCGGGGCCAGGTGTTTCCATAGGAAAGGGGGCTGAGAGGAGTCCAAGATGCAAGAAGAGAAGAAAAAAGAAAAGGACTGGAGGAGGAGGATGGAGACGGAGAGGAAGCGTGACAGGAAGAAAACGGGAGAGAAAGAGGAGGGAAGGAAGGAAGGAGGGACGGAGGGAGGAAGGGAGAATGGGAAGAAAGAAGGGAAAAAGGGAGAGAGGGAGGAAGGCAGGAGGGAGGGAAGAGAAAAGCAGAGGAAGTAATAGGGTTTCATCCACATGGGAAAAAATCACCTAAGTGTTCAATAAACGTTAGTCTTCATCTTATTCTAAAAAGGAAAGAAGGAGAGAAGAGAAGGAAAGAAAAGGTTGAAAGAAAGTGGGGTGCGGGAGGATGAGAAGAAAGAGAGCCTGCTGGAGACTGGGCACGCAGACAAGGAGGAACGCAGCGGCCGCGGAACGTCGGTGGAAAGATGTCTTAGAGCCGAGGAACCCAAACGCCCTTTGCCTTAGTTTTCTGCACAGGTATCCATGTTTATTGCTTCTTTTTGTAATATTTCTATTATATCAGGATTATTATTTCTCTAAGGTAGTTAGTTGATCAAGCAACTTTTTTTCCACCCTAAATTAGGACATGGAGAGAGAAAAGCTTCTATGTGGAACAACGACTGAATTCAAACCCTCCTTGAAGCTGAGGGTCAAGAATGCATGTGGACGCATGTGGGTGCGTGTGGATGCGTGTGGATGCATGTGGACGTGTGTGGATGTGTATGGCGAAGGCCCAACCTGGCAACACCTCACAGCTTCCTGTCTAACCCTCAGCGCGGCCGGGGTTCCGGGGGCCGCTGTGTCCGCTCTGCCTGACAGTCCTGGGGTACCACACCTTCCCTCTCCCCGAGTCCCCCTCTACTGCAGAACCAGCATGAGCTACAGGCCCGGCATTAGCGAGAAGGGGACGGTCTCACACACACACTCTCTCTTTAAAGCCATGCTGGACGATTTCCTTCTTTCAAGCCACAGAAACCCTTTTTCTTTCTTTCAGAATTTTGGCTGAGGAAAGGGGAGCACGCGGAAATTCACACTTTTTTCGACAGAAGATTTAATTTGAACGTGTGGATGCAAGAGAAATGGCAACACCTCAACCACTGAAATTGGTAGGTTGAGGCAGCAATGACGGTGGGAATGTCCTAGCTCTGTGCTGCGTCACCAGAAAGGGGACAGAAAGGAGACAAAATCCACCCCCACGTGTAACTACACCCAGCGAGGTTCTGGCGCTTCCATCAGACCAGGGCGTTCTCCTAGGACCTGGCTCACCCGGGATGGGGCCCAGGAACGCCGGCTGTGCCCTCAATTTCCAGTTGATCCTTAAAGGCTACTCCCTGTGAAGGTGGAAGGACTGCTCGTGGTCACAATTGGGCACGTCCACCCAGACTCCCTGCGGCTCTGAGTCGGAGGCTGCCCACCCACAGGTCAGGGTTTGTTCTCGTGGCTCCCAGGCAAGGGTGTGGGGACATTTGTATGGGGCCGCCAAGGAGCAAACGGGAGACAAGCATCAGCCAGGTGAGGCCCCACTGCTCCCTGCCCATGTCAACCACCTGTGAGAGTGACGGCCTCGTGACTCCTCTGTCCTCCCGAGGAAACCTCAGCATAATGCTTCTAGACTGAGGACTCGAGATGGCAAGGCAAGCAGGCGCAGCCGGGGGCCGAGAGGTTTTCTCCTGCTGCGACCTCAGTCGAGGCTGCAGGAGCCAAGGTCCCAAACTCAGGATGGTGACAGAATGGATGCGACGGAGCCGTGAGGCTGACCGGCTGAAACTCTGTCAGCTCAAGGGAATGTGCACTGAAGACACAGGATGCGAGCCAGAGAGACAGGCAGAAGTTGTTCAACCCTGAGAACATCATATTTCCTTAATCACAAGGTTTCAAATGACCAAGAGCCAGAGGCTGCTGGGCGCAGAGACCTGCTCCTCCAGCCACAGCTCAGAGACACTGAAGCCGGACGTCGGGAACGAGCAGAGCGGCCAGGAGGGCAAGCACCGCAGGGCAGCAGGCTGGGGCCAGGGGAGCCCAAAGCCAGGCCACTGGGAGAAAACCCATAACCTGCTTCTAGATCCCCACGCCGGGCAAGAAGGGTAGGTGGTGCACGGGACGAGAAGCAAGCTCCCTTACCTGGGTGGGCCTGTGACCTGGAGTAGGCTCCGTGCACCTGCACACAAAACACCACATGGTGAGACACACTCAGGAACACGCCCAGAAGCGTCTAGTCCACCTGAGCACCGCCACCCGGGGACGTTACCTGAAAGTCGCAGTATAGGAACAGCAGCCAGGAGTGCCAGCAGCAGAGAGGCGGCAGCTGCCGCATGGTCTGTGCCGAGGTTAAGACGCGATCGCAGCGAAATTCCTGAGGGTCCGTGACAAAGTGTGCCCTCTAACTTCCACCTCCTTGGGAAAGGGACATTTTCACAGGTTCTGGAAAGAAAAAGTCTGTTTCTCTAAAGTTGGTGGAACTCAGCCGTCCTGGAGAGTTAACGGGCACTTCTCGCTTGTCTCCAAGCTTGGGAGTCTTCAGGGATCAATAACCACATTGCCATTGCGAGGACCAGACCAGCCGTGGGAGGCAGGGAGGAGAAACCCAAATCCCAGTGGCCGTCCTGCAGGGCAACGCAGATCCGTGCCTGTGCGCGGAGGCAACGCGGGCGCCCGGCCGCCCGTCACTGTTTGCCTTTTATTTCGTGAGTTTTCATTTGTCTCCATCCAGGTTTGGCACTGGCTGTCTCTCGGTTTCCCTGAAGTGGGAGAGAGCAACAAGGCTTTAAGGGAATGCCGTCCTGGAGCTCCCGCCCGCTCCCGGGCTGGAGGGCTCGCTGGCCAACCCCTTCTGGTCTGACTCAAGCTTACACCTCACCCGCCCTCCCACCGGCCCTCTGGGTGGAGAGCAGTGATGTCAGGCTCTTCCTCAAACTTTGTTCTGTTCTGCTTCTCTATTTATATCCGTCGCTGCTGGGTCCTTCCTGGGTCCTAACACCAGTCTGTTAAGAACAATCAGGAATATCTTCAGGATCGTAGGTTCAGAAGCAGACCCAACAGACGTGGGGTGTGTATATAGATTAGGTGCTTTCCAGTCAGCACCCTCAACGTCAGCACAAATACTAATAAACACAAAATGTACAACAAACCATAAACTCCGTTTAGAGCTGAGTTTTGTTTGCCCAAAGAATGAAAGAAGGTGATAAATGGATGGAAAAAGAAAATAAACCACTCTCGCGTGCCCTGCGCTGAAGTGCTGAGCACGATTTTCTCTTTAACCCTTTCAGAGTGAATGAAAGCTCCAAGATTCCTTACAAGGTGCCTGTGTAATTACACCGAACCCAGCTCACTGGCAGCTTCCAGGACAGCGTCCTCAACGTGATAACAGAGTCAAACCCTAGCCAGACCGTGCCTCAGTTTACTCAAGACCAAACGTTTATCCAATCCACTCTAAATACATGTCCACACACATACACGATGATAGTCACGGCTGTGTGACAGACAGACGCACCTCTCCAACACTTACTAGCTGTGCGCCCTTAGGCGAGTTACTGAATCTCTCCGTGTTTCAAATTCCTCTTCTGTAAAGTGGGGGTAATAGTTCCTACTCCATCAGGTTGTCAGGAGAAATTAGATAATACATATAAAGCTCTTATAAGAAGCAGGGCTTGCAAAATACGTAGCACTCCATAAATGTTAGCTATGATTATTATTGTAAAGCAGAAAATAACACCCATTAAACGTTAACTGATATTACTACCTCCTTTGTCCTGGCTTTAAATGGGAATAGAGCCCAGAATCCAAGTACCTCCTAAGGAGGATGAGAGAACGACTTCCAGTCTCCACGGGGGAGAAAAAAAATTGATGCCAAAACCTGGTGATGATTTTTAACTCGTGCCTGCAGCCCACAACCTCCCCGATGGTCTCATAGCCTGAACCTCCTAGCATGGTCGCAGCAGGGTTCCAGATAATTCTGTGAACTCTTTCCTATCTCGTGGTGCTTGAAAACCGTGAACTCCAGATGCACGGTGCTGTTTGCAACATGACCTTTACCCCATCGCTAGGAGTGATCCACCCCAGAGAAAACTGCTTTACAGCCTTTCCTCAGATTCCCAGTCCCCGCTGCTGCCTCCCCCTGGAGCAAAGTGGAAGATGCGTGAGGAGCAGCAGCAGGTGCAGGTTCTTCTCAAGGCGGGTTAAACAGATCGCTAAATACATGTGCACCATTTCCAAGTCTGAACAAAGCCATTAGGTTTCTTTTTCAATCATGAAAATTATCATCAGATAAAGGGAGGCGCCCCAATTCAGTGGCAGTAATAAAAACTGGATATAAAGCAAATTAAGCAGAATCTGCCCTTCGGGTGTCTACACTCCCGGATGGACTCACTTTTGATCTCAGTCCCAGACCATGAGTCTGCGCTAACTCACACCCCTCACCTCTCCTTGTTCAGAGGCAGAACCGAGCCCGCCTTCACCGAAAGCAGCATTTCCCAGAGTGTGGAGACTTTGGAAATGCGCTAGGGGCCGCAGGGCCAGGACGCCAGCATCTCTTTATGCGCCTCGCCTCCTTGCCTCCTTCAGGTCATGCCCAGACGGCAGCTTGACATTGAGGCGTCCCCTCCCCAAGGCTCCTGCCTGTTCTGTTTCTCTCCATGTCACTTTTCGCTATCTGACATCCTTTAGACCTTAAACGTTGGTTTCATTTATCGTCAATCTCTCCTCACCAAGATGTAAGCCCCGCATGAGCAGGGACACTTTTCTGTCTTGTCCACCCCGTATCCTCACACCTAGAACGGCGCTAAGTATTTGACAGGTATTGAAGAGTCAACATTCAAACGATACTTTTTGGAATGAGTAAGTGTGTGGTTTACCTTAAGGGGTGGAAAAAATTGTTATGCTTTGGTAGAAGTTTATCAGGTTTGTACTGAGAGAGACGTTAATTAAATATTAAAAACGGGACCTTAATGTCACTTTTACCTAAAAAACAAAGTCGCACTCGTAGAAACAGTAGAATGGGGCTTGGGCCGGGGGTTGGGGAGACAGAGAGGCTGGTCAAAGGGACAAACTCTCAGCTGTAAGATGAATAGTCTGAGGCTCTAACGTGAGGCGTGGGGACGGCAGTCGGTGACACGCATGGTGTAATGGAAATTTGCTAAGAGAGCAGCACTTGTGTTCTCATAAAAAAAAAAGATAAATATGTGAGGTGAGGTGACAGATGTGGTAACGAACTCGATTGCAGGAATCCTTTCACACATCGATCACATCATCACACTGCACACTTTAAATATACTATAATTTTGTCAATTACACCTCAATAAAGCTGAAAGAAAGAAAAGAAAAGGGGCCTTAAATTCCAATTAGGCTCTATTCAATAATTTTTTACAGAGATGAAGCACAGTGTGAAGCCAGCTGAAAATAAGGACCTAACTGGATTATTCACGCAGCTGAATCTGGCCTGTGCCCAGAGGAGGAGAGGCGGGACCCCGCGAAGAACGCTGTGGAGTCTCCCAGATGCTGAGGAGTTGGATGAGCTGAGAGGACGATGAGTTCCCACTGCCTAATGCTTGGGACGGCCCCGTGGCCGAGTGGTTAAGTTCACGCACTCCGCTTCAGCGGCCCAGGGATTTGCTGGTTCAGATCCTGGGCACGGACATGGCACCGCTCGTCAGGCCACGCTGAGGTGGTGTCCCACATGCCACAACTAGAAGGACCCACAACTAAAATATACAACTATGTACTGGGGGGCTTTGGAGAGAAGAAAAAAAAAAAGAGGAAGATTGGCAACAGATGTTAGCTCAGGGCCAATCTTAAAAAAAAACAAAAACCAAGAGAAAGTCCCTTTAGAAGTGAAAAAAAATCAATGTCTAATTCTCAACCTCCTAACTGCACTCCCCCACCACGTGGCCTTCAGTAAACAGTCACCTTTGTGAGAAGCTGCAGAGGGCACATGTCCACACGTGCCCCCACTGACTTTCCAGGTGGATGGACCCAGGGAGAGCAGTGCTTCTCGAGCCATGAGTGAAGCGGCACACACAACACACAGGCACTACGGAAACTAATGGAGTCAGAGAGTTTGGGAGACAAAGTCACTGAGGATGTGACATGAAGGAGTTGGGGAATTCTTTCTCTGAAGGGAAGAACATTCCGGAAAGAAGCTGTGGAATGGGCTGCAGCCCCAGATGCGGCATGGTGTGTGCCATGGGCATATGCTGCTTCTGCCGGCCCGGACTCCCTTTTCCCCTCTGCTGATAGCACATGACTCTCTTTGGAGAACGCTTCCTTCACCCACCTAGGTGCCTAAATCATGACTGCAATATCACGGTGGGCACGGGGCCAGTGGGGACATTCATGGCGCCTCCACGCCACAGGCCCTGTGATTGTCCAGAGGTGTGCAAGTGACCTGCTTGGTACTAGTCAGTGTCTTCCCTGAGATTAGTACATTGACCTTGGCAGAGAGAAAGCTCCCCTCCCTGCTGGAGCTGCTAACTCAGACTGATCTCAAATTAAGGCGGGGGATGCCCATTTTTCTCACTACAAAGACAAGAATTACCTACAGTAGGAAAAAAATGGGAAAACAGCAGTAAGAGATTTGATGATGGCTGTTGAGGCCCTGGATCCTGCTATACCTAAAGCCAGTTTCACTGATAGGCACCAATAAATTCACGTTTTGGCTCAAGCAGCTTTGAGCTTGGTTTCCATCCCTCGCAATTAAGAGTCCTGGTCAACACAACATGTTGGAGGAGCCACAAGTAATCTGGCATTCAGTGAAGCATAGGCATGAGAGGGGAAAGTGGCAGGCGCGGAGGGAGGCTGGAGAGCCAGGCGACGCTCCAGTTTGCTGGCCTGCATCCTGGACACCTTCCGTTCATCACTGTCAGTGCTCTCAGCCCGACTTCTCATTGCAGCTGCGTTAGGATGATCGTCTCCACAGGCTTCTGCCAGCTTCTCTCCTGACAGCAATTCTCCTGCAGGTCAGAGTGCGCCTCTGTCTGGGGCCTCTCGCACTCAGCAGATGGGATAAGAGCCCGCTCTGCCTCCGGCACATGCGCTCAGAAGTGAGGGGGCTTAATGAGTCAGAGCAGCCTGCCCAGCGAGGTACAGGCCCAGCAGATACACACTGTCCCTCTTTCTCTCCCGCTCCAGGGAAGCAGCTGAGTAACACCTCCCGGACTGACTTCCCCGCTGGCCTGTGTCACTCTCCCTGGAAACACCATTGCCTCTGGAATCACACCCCCAAGAAGACCCTTCACACGGAGTCTGGGCCTCGGGCTCTGCCTCCCAGGAACAGAGGATAAGACTGACCACCCAGCAGGTCGGTCCCATGGGTCTCGAACTTTCAAGGAGTCAGTGAAGGCCCTGAAATCGCAGGCACAACTTTGCTTGAAGGCATGAGAACTTTTGGGGCACAGGGTCCGTGGCTTTCCTCTAATTTCTGAAGAGGTGAGGATGGGCACAAGCTTAACTGTCCGGTGCGTGAGGAGGGTTTAAGCAAGAACCTGCACGGCACACGTGGCTGATTTCCTCCCAAACTCTGCTCTTGCCTTCCTTCTTCCTGCGCAGAATCCCAGGGACATTCGGGCGCCCCTGAGCTCAGTAAAAACGATGGCTTCCCTTTCTGCTGGGGTGGCCCTATGACCACACACGAGAGAGGTGGGAGTCTCCGCACAGGCTCCTGAGAAAGCGCTTCTTGTCTTTGCTCTTCCCGAAGGCTTCCGACCCTGACCTTTATTCCACTGGAACGTGGAGGTGACAGTGGAGGGGGAGCAGCTCTCCTGCCGTCACGGGAATAGAAACCAGAAGCTTTTCCTCCAGGACATCGAAGCTGGAAAGAGCATCACCTCTCCTAACAGAAGCAGCCAGCTAATCTACAAAACTGTGACTTCTCTCGAAGCACAGAGGTTCAGGGAAACCACCTGGACCGAAA